ACTTCTGTTAGATACTGAATTCCCTTGCTTTGGAGGAAATAGAGGTGGTTTATTGAAAATCATCTGGAGCTAAGAGTCAAAAAATTGGTATTCTAGCTATCCTTGTCATACTAACTAGTCACATGTTTAAAGGCAAAGAACATAAGCAGTCTTTTCAATTTATTTTGTTTGTTTTGAAATTGAGGCAGCAATGTCTATTACCCCCTAGATTTGGAAAATGCAACTATCCAGATGCAAGAGTTCTTTGAAGACACAAATGTGATCTCTCTTCACATGTAATATATACAAATGCAATGTATGCTTTTTATTTGAGAGATTTTTGAGGGTGGGTGAGTTTGTAAAATATTGTTAATATTCACTGGATTTCATGGCATGCTTCTCTGCATATCACTGTTTATAATCTAATATGTGCTTATTTATTGCGGTTATATGTTTACTTACTAATTAGGATTATATGTGTGCTCATTTGGTAAAATTCTACTCTGCCCTGTGAATTGAAAGTATCATTGTAACAGAGAATATGTCTTTATTATACAGAATCTTATAACCTCAGGCACTGTGCATTGAAGAGCATAGTAGGTGTTTAATAAATAATTGTTGAATGAATGGAAGCATGCTTCCTAAATGCAATGTGTACGTGCAATGTATACTATAAATTTAGACCTACTCCTCAAAACTATTGGTGTTAATGTTGTTCTGAGTTTTGTTTTGGAAGGGTTTTATGAAACCAGATATGTTAAAACATCAAATTTTGAAATCATGTATATGAATTATGAAAAATGATATCTCATTTCTTCATAATCATTTCTCTTCTGACTTGAAACCCTTTCATATCATAATTTAAATATTTTATATTGGGGGAGAGTTTAACAGAATTCAGCACTACACTGATAATCTAAATGATTTTTCTCTTCTTTTATCTCAGAGTAAACTCTAGGATTATGTGATAACATTATGTGATAATGTGATAATGTTTGATAAAATGAGATTTGTAATCAGATAAACCTGGGTTTAAGTCCCAACTGTACCACTTCCCAGTTGCAAGAGAATGCATGCTGTTAATTTCTCTAAGCTTTTGTTGTCCCACGTGGGCCTAATTACACTTCTCTAATGAGATTGTTGTGAGGATTAAATGTAGTAATAGACATCAGATGCTTAGTATGGTTTCTAACACATAAAAGCTTTTAGCTGTAGCTTTATATTATTTATATGGTTCATATTCTAAACAGATATTCTTTCTGTTCTGTGTATTTGTGTGTGTGTACGTTTCCTTTTACAGATGGGTATACAACTGATGACATTGAGTTCTACTGGCGAGGGGATGATAACGCAGTGACAGGAGTAACAAAGATTGAACTTCCACAGTTCTCCATCGTAGACTACAAACTTATCACCAAGAAGGTCGTTTTTTCCACAGGTTTGTATCAGGGAAGAGGATTAAGGGAAAAGAATCTTCATCATATTTTGTTAAAAAAAAAAATTCACTTATATCAGAGCTGTGGCCCAGGGCAGGACAGTGACTCTAGATGTCTTAAATCTGCTGAGAACCCTCAGTTTCTGATCA